GCGCTGCCCGGAGCGGCTGAAGAGCTGGCGGAGGGGACCCCCCTGCCCAGCCGGGCTCTGCAGGGTGAGGGCAGGACGCTGGTGCAGGCAGCTCGCTGAGATGCTTAACTCCTGCTGCCCTCAGTGGGGACACTCTGCTGCGAAGGGCAGGGGAGGGGTGCTGCTTGGGCCCCCGCGAGGCGCGGGGGAGGCGGCGGCACTGGGTGCCCAGCAGACCCTCGCCCGGCGGCCCTGGTTTTCACGTGAGCGTCGGAAGAAGGCTGGTTCCGCAGGCGAAGGATCAGCGCTCGTAAGCTGTTGGGGCACTAAGCCGTCCCGATCCACGCACCCCGCGCTCTCCTCCGCCCTTACCTGCCGATCGCAGATGTCTATTTTGTTCCCCAGCACGACCATGGGGAAATCTTGCTCCCGCGGGGTGACCTTCTCCAGGAAGTCATGTCTCCAGTTGTCCAGGGATTCAAAGGACTCCTTGTCCGTCACGTCGAAGGCCAGCATGCAGCCGTCCGAGCCTTTGTAAAAGGTCGACACCATGGACCGGAATCGCTCCTGTCCCCCCGTGTCCCAGATCTAGGGCGGAGAAGAGCACGGGTACAGACACACGACGCGAGTGGCGTGGGTGTTTGCAGCCCTGCGCTCTGTTAAGCTCCGGGGACCAGCTTCAGGGAGCGCTGAGCCCCGAAAAACTCATCCAGGATTTCAGTACAGTTCATGGATGCTCAGGGCTGCTGAAAATCAGGCCCTGCAAATCCAGCCCCGCACCTCATGACACCGGTAGGCATCCGGGGAGAGCAGGATGTGGTGGGGCACACGTGCCCATGGGAAGGGGCCGGGCACCCCGGGCAGTCCCAGCCCCGCTCACCTGCAGTTTCAGGGGGGTGTTGTCCACCGCGAGGACTTTGGTCAGGATGCTGGCGCCCAGCGTGGTGCGGTAGTCTTCGTAAAACGTCTTGTGCACGTACTGGTGCAGGAGGGAGGTTTTGCCCACGCTGGTGGGAGGGAAGGGACGCGGGTGAGGATTCGCACCGTGAAACCGGGCTCAGGGGGTTGGTTACAGCAAGGACGGGGGCTGCACACCCACAGGCTCCCCGGCCAGCGCACAC